TTAGATTTCTCTCACCGCGGTGGACAATGCATACGATGATCTGCCTGAAGTGAAACCCGACGTATTCTGGGAAGACACCGTGTCGCCACTGTACTCGCAAGAGACAGCTGGAAGATATGTGAACTTCTATGTGGGAAGCGCTAACAAGGCAGAGTGAGTCTGTTTCGGCAGTTTGCTTTTTCTCAAAGTGCTATTCTTATCTGCTTAGACTTCCCGGAGATGTGACAGAAATCACCATGGTGCCTCACCCAATGAACGAGAAATTTGATCAGTACATTAAAAATCCCGCTCGCCGACGGAGAACTAGCATCGTTTCCGTGGTGCCGCAACCCCAGTGAGGAATTTTGATTGATTGAATTGTTTCTGGTGGGTTTGTATAAGGGAAGGTTCTTCGCCACAATGTTATCTTTATGGCCTATAAAATGTCGCAGAATTGCTCCGCAAATATTTTCAAAGAATGAAACTAAAACCATGAATGATCTTTCCTCTGATCCAACGAAAAACAAGAGAATTGAATTCAGCTGAGCCCGAACTACGACTTATTGATGAAATGTTACACTCAAATAATTTCAGAACACCAAGAACAGAAAGAGCACGCTCTGGTAGTTCTTTGCTTCATCCCTTCCAACGAAAGCCGGTCACCACTTTGTACGTTTTATTTCTTTCGACCTCTTTTAGCACTTTACGAAAAAAAGAAGTGATATCTATAATTACAGGGGAATGGAAGAAGCAGCACGAGTAAACTCTAAGCCGCGCTCATCTACGGATATCGGAGATGGCAGACAGCGAAGTGCATCATATCTCAATCCCACATTTCTCATTGAAACAAGTTTGTCTCAGCTTCTAAATTTATGGAAAGCGGTATTCTTTCACTTCAAAAAGAGTTACAGTCTAGGAAGTTCACTCTTATCAAAACATGTAAATTCCATTTCTGAATTTCGCCATTTTTATTTATTGCCATTCTTTCTTAATTTCGAATGATTTGTTTTGTCTTGGCATACAACTTAAAGAAACATTCCAGGTGAGATGGAAGCAGCCTCTCAAGCGACAACCAATAGGCATCTTCATGTCGGTGAGTAAG